GTCAAGGGTCCAATCTTTGGCTTTGGAAATGGAGCAGTCTTAAATCTCTAGGTCAGCTGTCCCACCCAAAAGAGGCATCTACAATTCAGCGAGGTGATTAGTCACTGTGTCCGACAATGAAAACCCTAGGCATACCTAAAAAAAAAAAAAATACACCATATAATATTCTTATTACGGTTAAATTAAACTGATTTGGATTCAGCTCAAATCATGCTCGTAACTTACAATCTTAAATTGTGATGAAATAATTACAAATGGACCCCGAGCGGGACAACATGGAGCGAACCAAGTTCGAAGCATCCGGAGGAACCCATAACTGGACCTGACCAACCCGGGTGGCCAAGCTTCGCGCTTGGCCATGGGGTTTGCCAAGGTAGATCACTTCGGCCGAGGTCGGCCACGAGCTTGGTCGAGTGACGGGGTCTTCGTGTTGGTCCGATTCTTGCGGCGTTGGTTGCAATTACAGCTTGCCACCACTTTCTCCTGGGTTGTTATGGTCGAAATTGGGTATAAAAACACTCCATCTTGTCCTTACCCAATACTCTGTCTTGTTATTAATTACACAATTCCTACATTTGTAATAGCATTTCGTACTTGATTAAATACAACATTTGTCCCCGTGACTTACATTCATATCGATATTTGTCCCTTTTATTTCACTATGCTTATCATTTGCGTTCGGTTAATCTTATACTTGTCATTTCTATAATTTAGTCGGGTTAATTAATTCGAACTCCCGGATTAATTTTCTCCATCGAATTACATTAACAATTAGTTTACTAAATATTTAAAAGTATTGTTTTTATGATAAATAATTTAAAAGTTATGGTGAGTGAGACTATCAACCACTTTTGTAAAGAAACAAAATATCATTAATCACTATACGACCAATTTATTCATTTAGCTAAGAATGTTTTTGTCTTCCCCTCGAATTAGGTAACTATCCGAATTCAAACAAAACTGCTTCAAAGCCTCAAAGGTGTTGGAAATTCAAGATCCATAAAATAATGGGGAAAAAACTAGTGGGAAAAGAACAGGTGGCGGCATATGGACAGCATAGGCCCCACCTAACGGCAGAGCAGTTGCCCCTTTCTAACGGAATAAACTACCACTCTAGTACTAATACATCTTTTGTTTGTTGGACGATATTTTTTTTTAATGCGTTTGTTGAATGATTTAATTGCACATATTTTTAATTTAATAATTGTGCAATCTCAATAAGTTTTTTTTTTTTTTTTTGAATGCTACTAGCTCTATTACATTGTAGTATCTGTTCATATACTTTCTCAACCTACTGAAACACAAAGAGCTAATAACACCTCCATTGAGGCTCGAACTCACAACCTTCCAAATGAAAGTCCAACCCGGGTACCATTGGACCACATAGTCCTGCAATCTCAATAAGTTTAATTGTCTCTTTGACACTTAACTTTATTCTTTTCAAAATACGAGTCATTTTGTAAAAAATATTTCCTGCCTTTTCTAACCTCATAAAACTAAATGAATTTGCAAAACCTTAGGTTATGTAAAATAAAAATATCAAAAATTCTTTCAAATCTTATGTCTTTAGTTCCCACTTCCCAGATCGAATTGACTTTATATTTTGGCGTGCATGAATGGTCTATTATAAATTTCCTTTTTTTGAAAAAAATAAAATTAATTCCTTTCTAAAAGTGTCATTTCGCTAGCTGCGTGGTTAATTACATTTGCATACCCAAAATGCCACACCCCAGTATCTCATTGGCACATATATGTAATTAAACATAAGAGCTCCAAATGTGAAATTTTGAGTAGCAAAACTGTCACTTTCGTAATAAATGCCATTTTTATCACTTTGCACCGCAGATTATCTTTAGAGTTGGAATGAACTGGAAGCACCCAGAAAAGCAAACCCTAACCGAATTTTTTAATTTGATATCAGAGCTAAATCTTTACGATTCATCATAGATTCATCACACTTCTATCTACATGTTGCATATAGCTCATCAGAAAGCTAAGTAATTGAATTGCACACATAACATAACTTGTTTAACGTATTATATATGAATAAATATTTAGTAATAGTCTTTTGACCTTCGTGATTTGAACTGATTAGTTATGGGTAACGGCAACCTAAGCTGATTTATCTTCTTATGATTTTTAGCCGGCTAGGATAACAAGACAGGATTTACCTAATGCACATCATAGAATAATGACTACGAATTTTCTTCGTTATCCAAAAATAAACAAAAAAAAAACATAAATATACCGTCAAAGTAACAATAAGTTTAGAGTTTTAGTTAAGACAAAACACATATTTCAATTTGAACCAGCCCAAGGGTTCAAGACGCCATTAACAGTGCAGGCCTAGCTAGTCAGTTGAGACATCCAAAAGGACCAAAACTACCCGAGTTTGTGTTCGCTAAGTAAATGTTTGTGTTCTAAAAAATAATGAAAGTATATATTTATTATCTATATATTATATGGTTGCCGATGATAATATTATAATAAATATGGGACACCCAACAGATCAATTTATCTGTGAATTTCTGGTACGAAATCTTTATCGAGTGGCTGTGCAAAGTTCCTGGAAGATCAGACGTGGTCAAATGCATGCTCTGTAACATCAAGTAGAAACTTCCTAGAAACATGCATGCAATGTCTGAACCTACCTTAATCTTCACGTCAGTAAATAGAAAATACAAATGTTATCTTGAGAGGGTTGGTTATGGCCGGTGCTTTATCCAACATATACAAATTTTATCCTCTTTTACACTTTATATATATTTTTATTTTTTATTTTTAGATTTTTATTGCTTTTTTGACGAAAATGATGAAGAAAAACACATTCACACGCGCAAAAGATTCGTCACACAATTAATTATTATTGAATATAGTAATATTGTATTGTCACCAACAAATCCCACTAGATTATTGAGCAGGTGTACGTGATAACGTGACTTGATCGACGCCGCGATCTTTGTGTAATTAGTATGTAGTTAGTGATTAAGTATGATTGGGTATATATTTATTCTCAAAAAAGCATGATTTGGTATTAGGATAACTCTAACCAAGTTAGTTAGACAATTTAATTTTCGTGGTTTAAGTTATTCAACTTAGAAAATGTTTATTAGCACAGCACAAAAAGTCAATAACGTCTTCACTGAAACTTGAACCCATAAACTCTTATGTGAAAATTTAACTTGGTATCATTGAACCACACAGTCGTTGTTATAGATAACTTAGTTGACTTATCTCTTTATAATATTTTGTTGGCTAATGTCAATGCTAGCTCACTAGACAATCAACTCAAAATAATCAATTGTAGAATTTTATTTTGTACGTAATTTCAAGATGTAGAGTTCAAATCTTACCATAGAATCGCGAAGGACACTCATCTAAGGTGACGAGACATTATGAAATTATGATTAATAGTGAGGGGCACTTGTTTCAATCCTTATATCATGGACCAAGGTTCACAGTGCATTATGGACCCTGGAGCATGTGTATGTGTTTTATATTGTGAGAGTTTGTGTATTGTGTAATGAAATTTTGTACCTTGAGAGTATGAATTCTGTACCTGAAACAAATTAATAATTGTGTCTTATATTATGAATTATGTGTCTTATGTTGTGAAATTATATGCCTATGACACAAATTATGTACCTAAATAAGATTTGAAAAATAAGTAAAGGTGTGTTTGGAAACCCAGAAAATGTCATTTTCTGGTTTCTAGTGTTTGGTGAAAAGTGGAAGATGTGAGTCAAAGGAAGATGAATGTTTGATCAAAGGAAAATACTCTTTTTTTTTTTTTTTTGAAGATAACTTCCTCTCTTTTTGGGAAAGTCATTTTCCAATTTTCACACACTACCGTCACCACCGTCGCCACCATCACCACAACTACCACCAATCCACCATCCACCACCACTGCCACCGTACTAGATAAGTGTTTATTTATCTATATTTCGCCCTTATATTAGGTCATTTTGTCCATAGATTATTCTAAATTTCACGAGGATTAGTACTTATTTGTGTTATTCTGCAAGGAGTAAAGTATTGGAAAGCGTTAGAGGTAAAGATGGCAAACCAAGGAATTGAAGATTTGGAGCAAAAACAAGAATTGAAAATTAATCTTGCTGATCATATATACACTGGGCGTGACGCGGCCTTCGTTCCATTGCGCCATCTTATATTTCCAATAGAAATACAACAAACTATATACAAATAACATTAACATGTTATATATACATTTCATGAAGCTAGTTTGATCGAAACTCAAATTCATAACTAAATATATACATAAAACAAGGGAGTTTGAGGTTTCAACGTGCAAATGTTAAACAAGAGTAAGTGTCTAGTTAACCTAGGAGAAGCTAAACTCGACTACAAGAAGATGACACGTGTTTGATCTCCCCAATTCAGCAATATGATACAAATGTAATTTAGGGTTCACTTATTTTTTACCCAACCCTATGCGTCTTGTGTTTTTTTTTTTTTTTTTTTTTTTTTTTTTTGGTTCATTCTTGTTTTTGTTATCTCATTTGTGGATTTAAAACTACAGTGACAAAATTTAATATTCTTGTTGTGAATGATATAACAAGCAATGTATGTGATTGTGGTACATATTCCAATCATATAGTAAATAGCTTTTAGAAGAAAAAAACAAAAGTAAAAAAATAACATAAAATTTCACAAAACATAAATTGAACAGAATTAATAAGCAAATCAATTCAATCTACCAAAACGTCAAATTTAATTAAATATAAAATAAAATAAGGAAAAATTCCAAAACCCTAAATCCATAAAAAAAATAAAAAAAATTCAAACAATAATTCTTATATAAGTTATGATCAAATATTAATTCATTAAATTAAACATAACATATAGTATTTGAAGGGTATAGGGTAATTTGGGGCTTCCCACCATACAAAGATAATTTTGTTTTTATTTTTTAATTAAATATAAAAATATTTTTTAAAAAAACCCCCCAAAATTCGAAAATCTTAAACCCAAAAAATATTTCAAAGCGCCCAAGGATTCTCATTTCTGATCTCCTCTTCTTCCTCCGGCGATAAGTCGTTCTCCATGTTGAATGTCTTTCTGATCTCCTCAGGGGTTTTGCCTTTGATCATGTCCACAACTCTACGGACCAGCTTCTCCTTCAACTCGCTTATCGCCAGATAGTCCGCCGCCGTGAGAAGAACGTAAAGCTCCGCCTGCTCCACCTCCACGAACTTCTGGTCGAACTCCTTCTTCTCGGCATTGGTTTTTCCGGCGGCGGTGTGCACTTCGCAGTACTCGAGAATCTTCGCGAGCGTCTCTCCGTCGACTTTGGGTAATGGGATAACGGAGTTTTCGCCCATGCTTGAATCCTCCACCACGAACTTGATAGTCTGTGACAGCGCCGCCACGGACTCCGCCACCTCGAACTCCTCGCCGTCGTTGGTTCTCAGTCTCACCATTTTCTCGCCGTCGTTGGCGCCGGAAGAAGACATGATGTCAAATGATTCTTCTGGGGAGAGTGAAGATGGTTTTTTTTTTTTTTATTGAGGATGCGAGAGACCAAGAGTGTCTGTATGTATATATAGGAGGCGGCGGTCTGCTTTTGCATGGGGATAAATTATTCCTAGGATTTGTCAAATTTAGAAATCAAGATATTATACCATATACGGAGTATATTTTTAAATTTTGAAAAATAAAATTTAAAAACTTTACTAATACTCCATAAATTTAAAAAAAAAAAAAAATCTGCAAATACCTTTTTAATCAAGTTTGTCTCTCATGTGTGATTGGTGAGCTATTACACAAGCGACATTTATTCAATGTATATTTTTAGATAATTGTTGTCAGTTTCATTTGTTATCCAAAAATAAATATTCTAAGTTATGATAGTGAATAGTATTTCTTATTAAAAAATAATGTTTACTTAAAATATATACATAAAAGTAAGATATATATAATATGGAGTTGTATATTAGTTTTTAATTATTAATTTATTAATATTTATACAATTTAACTACCTAGTAGTTTTAAAATATTGTCCAATAACTTTTTAAGATATATTTTGAAGGCAATTTAACAATGAATTTTAATTGGTAATAATATCTATTCGTACACAGTTGGAAATTTACCATGGACTCATCTAAAAATTAATTTATCTCGAATCCAGCTTGATGTGCTTCTTCTTGTTATTTGGACTGTGATGTGATTTGCAAGTTATTAAACTGAAATTAGATTTACCCTAGATAATGATTGTGAATTTCTTCTTTAAATTGAAAAAAAAAATCTTAATATAATATGTTCAGATACTTATATTTTAATTTATAATTTATTAATTTATATTTAATATTAATATAATTTATAAAATAATATTATCAATTTATAAAAAGTATAGCTTATATATAACTTTATATAGTTTATAAAAATGTGTGTACGTTCTCTAATATTTTGCGTGGGAATAAAGTATTCCAAGGTTTTGTCAAATGTCAACTTTAGAATTAAATAATCTAGACTAATTATATATGTACTTTTAATTTCATTATCTACTCTCTAATATGTAGAATGTTTTGATTGCTTGATATAAATGGGGTCATGATTTTATCTATTATGAAATACATTTTTTTTTTCTCTCCAATAATAAAACGCGTATACTTAATGAGAATAAAAGTTGAAAATAGGTTTTGTAAGATATATTAAATATAATATATCTATATATATGTGTGTATATATATATATAATTATATATACGACTATATAAATTGAGAGAAAGAGAGGGGAATGAATTGATTGATTTCCACGATTGTCCTCATTATACCAGCAATCTGCAATCTTGTGTCCATACTTGCCACAATTGTAGCAATGAAATGGAAATTTAACTTGTTTGGTATTACCTTCACCTCTTCCTTGGTTGGAGTTACCACTTCCTCCTCTTTGGTTGAAGTTACCACGACCTCTTCCACCAGAACCTCCTCTTCCTCTTCCACGACCTCTACTAGATCCTCCACCTCTTTGTTTAGTGCCAGTCAGTCAGTCACATTAAGGGTGACTTGACTCTTTAAAGCTTCTTCAGCTAGTGGTTCTGATTTTAACGCAATTCTGTCAATATGACTTTCTACCATACCTTTCAGCTCTGCAATTGATAAGAGCTCGGTTTTGTGTGACTCTGTTATTGAAGCCACCACATGGTCATACTTCATCGGCATAGTTCGAAGAACTTTTTCAACCACTGCATCATCTTTGTTAGTAATGTTATATTATATGGTTTATTTGTTTATGGCTGTTATTATAGTTGACTAGTCTTTACTATTAGATAGGAGCTTTTAGTGGTAACTTTCCTATAGGTCTCTATTGTGTAACCTCTTTCCAGTTTGAATGTGATTTGCGTTGTTTCACTTGGTATCAGTTAGCGTCAGGCTAGGAATCCTACCCTGTTTTTTCTCCACCACCTAACCATGTCGACAAACTCCTCTGAATGCACCGTAACCACCACCCATCCACCACAAACAACCGGGAACTCCCTTAACGCAGCGCATCACTTTGTCTCAATAAAATTAAAAAATCATAATTTCTTGTTTTGGCGCACCCAAATTATCCCTTTCTTACGTGGCCATGGTTTATTTGTTTATGGCTATTATTATAGTTGACTAGTCTTTACTATTAGATAGGAGCTTTTAGTGGTAGCTTTCCTATAGGTCTCTATTGTGTAACCTCTTTCCAGTTTGAATGTGATTTGCGTTGTTTCACTATCTTCAATTGTATCTCCGTATAACCTCATCTTATTCACCCTATCAATAAGACGAGTGAAATACATATCTACTGTTTCTGTAGAGGTCATCTCACAATTATCGTACAACCTTTTCAACGACTGCAACTTAGACTTCTGCGCCCGATCGACTCATTTGTGTGACACCGATATATTATATTTAATATATCTTATAGATATATTATATTTAATATATCTTACAGGTTTTGGAGTTTGTATGTAGTTTTTTGTTTGTCAAATTTATAAATCTAGATTTCCTAATGCTTTCATAGAATCTTACAAATACCTAATTACAAGATACCATATACGGAATATATTTTTAACTTTTGAAAAAAAAAATTTAAAACTTTAATTAATAATATATATCCCATAAAAATAAAAATTATTCCAACACCTTCTTTCATATTGCACACGGTCTTCTATTGTGATTTATTCACTTATATGTGATTTGTAAACTATTACATAGAAGCGAGATTTACCTTTAGATAATGATTGTGTGTTTCTTTCGTAATTTAAAATAAAAGTCTAATATAATATGTTTAGATAATTATATTATAATTTAAATTATAATACTATTTATAAAATGTATAGCTTATAACTTTATATATAGTTTAATTATAAAAATGTGTGTGTATATGTATGTATGTATGTATATATGTATAGTATTGATGGGGTGAGGACCCCGGCCCAAGGTATAGGGGCCCAAAGAAAATAGATAGGAGAAGTGGGCCAGCGTCGAGAGGAGCCCGAAGAACAATTGGGCCGAGTCCGGAAGTCGGCCCATGCCCAAGCATGGGGCCCAGTTCCGAGCTGCCAAGAGGAGTCCAGTAGGAGCTTAGGCCGAGACAAGGAGTCGACCGAGGCCCAAGCCCAGGAAAGGACTCGGCTCAAGGAGCCGTTGAGAGCATTGAAGAGGCTCGTTTAAAAAGGGAGCCGTTGAGACATTGAAAGCCGGACACGGTCAGGCCGTTACAAGCCTGGGAGAGCCGTTGGTCGACCGAGTAATAGCATCCAACGGCTCCGTATCTTAATTAGCCATGAAGTCGGCCATCAAAGGCCTTTAAGTCGGTAGAGGGGGAGCCACTATATAAAGGTTCCTCCATTCTTGTAAAAGGAGGACAATTGAACACCCAAAGAGGGGAGAATACCAAAAGAGTTCCGAGTACTAGTATAATCTCCGAAATAGACATACACTTTATCGAAAGGTGCACCCACCAGCCGAAGGTTGTGTTGGACCTCCTTGGGCCCGAAAACCCTAAAACCATCACTGGCACCGTCTGTGGGGATCAAAACTAAGAGTCACGTGTCCTCTTGAGTGAGACGAGTCCGAGGAACAACGATTAGAATCCCAGTCGAATTAGAAAAGTTCCAGACATGGCAGGAAGTGAAGAACAATCGAGCCGTCATAACAATGGACGGGAAGCAGACCTGAGAAGCCAGCTGAATCGGAGAAATGCCCGGAGCCGGGAAAACGAGACAACGCCGCCGCCGACACCACCGATAAACCAACAATTGCCCCAAGTGCTGCTCACCCCAGAGCAGCTGCGTGCAATCGGACGCGCCTGTGCCGAAGCAAGCCTAGGAGTGAGAGAACAGTCCATCACTCGCCAGCCGCAACGCGAGTCACAGCCGCTTCATAGGCCCGACAACCGGCAACAGAGCCGACGGGCCGAAAGCCAACCGGTACAGTCCGTTCATTCTCGGCTGGGTCCCAGCGTTGGGCGTCGGTCGGCAAGAGAACGATTGGGTCGGATGGAACCCAGTCATGCCCCGTTAGCCGCTCGCCATCGACAAGCTACACGAGAGAAGAACCGTACCAAAAGAACCAGGACTGAGACTCGTCGCGTGGAGCAACCTCCACGCAACCCCGACCAACCGGCTGAGTCTGAAATCGGCGAAAGCACGGAATCCACAGGAAATCGCACCCGGGAGAGGGTCGAAGTGGCGAACTTAGTGCAAGAAGTGTGAAATTTGAAAGAACAGATGGAGGGGAAAACCAAGTCCCCAGGACGTACGTTACTGACCGCCTTACCCTTCTCGGATGAGGTTATGGCTTTTAAAATACCGGGTGATTTCAAGTTCCCGGAGCAGGCCACGTTCGATGGAACCGGCGATCCCCGGGAGCATTTGCTGAGCTACCAGGCTAAGATGCAGGTTTTGGGGGTATGAGATCCGGTCATGTGCCGCGCCTTCTTGCCCACGTTGAAAGGGTCAGCACAAAGGTGGCTAGTGGCACAGCCCTCGGGATCGATTCGCAACTTTGAAGAGCTGGCAGACCGCTTCATGAGCCATTACGCCGCTAATATCAAGCCACAAAAGGACCTAACACACTTGGGTGACATTCGTCAAGACGAAGGCGAGTCCTTGAAAACCTATCTGGCCCGCTGGCAGAAAGAAATCCAGTCCATAGAAGAGGTCGAGGACCAGACAGCGCTCACCTTCTTCATCGAGTCGCTGCGGTCCGGCTAGCTGTACCGAGACCTGAGGGACAATCGTCCGGCCACCTACGCAGAGGCCATTCATATGGCCAACACAGAGCAGGCTATGAAGTACAAGCGACAGCGCGAAGTCGGCGGATCCGCCAGCGGGAAGAGGACGTGAGCGGAAACCAAAGAAAGGCGCCCGGACGTGACTCGGTGACCCGAGGTCAGAAGGCCATACGACAGACCCGTCGTCTACGCTTATCGGCCGATTCCCGAATGTCCGGTCCATGAGATACAAACGGTCGCCCCG